CGTACAATACCACAGGAGCTACGAAACCCATGACGTCCCATAATCTAGCAACGCATGACAGTATTGTGCGCTTTGTGCATTTCTCTACGGGCGGATTTACCTTAAGGCTAAACACGTCGGACTCTGGTGACCAACACAGACCGAGCACCTTGTGTGTATCGGAATCGTCGAATTCCTTTATCGCCGAAAGACGGTGTGATAGTGGGATTGTATCTAAAACCGTACGCGAATTACTAGTCCACTTCACAAGATCGAATTGACCCGATTTCATGAGCCTTATGACTTCGGCGGTGGTTAGGGTGGCCTCCTCCACGCTATCGACCGAATACACAAAATCATCCATATATAATCCGCTCTCAATTGCCCTCTTAGCTTTAGGATAAGAGGGACCTTCATCGTGAGCGAGCTGTCTCACCGTGCGTAACGCATGAAATGGGCTCGACTTTAAACCAAAACAAACGCGGTTAAATTCAAACACCATTAGAGGTTCCTTTGGGTTGAAGCGATATAAAATGCGTTGGAATCTACGGTCGCATTCACGGACCCCTATGCAAAGAAACATTTGGCGAATATCGGCGGATAGTGCTATACTAAACAAACGAAAATTGACTATTATATTAAATAAACTGCCCTGTAAATTTTGCCCACTATAGAGGATATCGTTAAGCGACAGGTGAGTGCTAGTTTTAGCACTAGCGTCGAGCACTACACGTAATTTAGATGTAAGTTTGTCCTCTCTAATGACTCCGTGGTGTGGTATAAAATACGACGGTGTGTCTTCGTAGTTATCTAATTTCGAAGCCACAAGCGATATGTAACCTTCTCTTATATATTCGTTAATGACGCCGTCGTAAGCTTCCTTTAACTGGGGCGAAGCGAGCATCCTACGCTCCAAGCTGTAGAAACGCTTTTCCGCCATTTGACGCGAATCGCCGAGAGATAAAACATCTCCTTTAAAGGGTAGCGCTACACTATATCTACCGTCGCGATCACGAACGGTCGTGCGGACGTAAATTTCCTCGCATAACCTGTCATCTGGACTAGCTATAGGTGGGACGTTCACCTCCTCCATCTCCCAAAATTTGCGGACTAACGACTCGAGCGGTTCGACAGCCATACCACAATAAGAGGTTGCCGAAATACTATCTAGGATGGGGGCGGAGCCAAGGATCACATAGCCCAATACGGTTTCCAGTGCGTAAGGCGCGGTATGCGAGGAGTTGCCCCTGACCTTATTGTTTAACAAAAGATAAGGGAAAAGCGATGCCCCAATGAGCATGTCTATGTTTCCAGGAACGGCGTAAGTGTCGTCTGCTAGAGGCAAATTTTTAAATTCAATCATTGCCGAGGTGTCAACCGAAACGGTTGGCAACCGTTCAGTGACCCTATCTACTACTAGTGCATTTATATCAAAGTTAACATTACGATCTATCCGAGAATAAAATTTTAAATTTATATATCCCTGTGTCGCTTTACTAGTACCTCCGATGCCTTTAACTACAGGACATGAAAGTGACCTATTTATTACTAAACCTAAGCGCTGACAACATTGTCGTGTTATAAAGCTATTTTGGGCTCCGCTGTCCAGCAGTGCACGGACGCTTTGTTCGTTTCCACGCGAATCCCTAACCAAAATACGCGCCGTACCCAGTAACACGGTCGAAGGAGGTTGTACTCCCATATTTGCCAATGAGCACAGAGCGACATCACCAGGTCGACCGCTAGAATCGTTGACCTTAGTAGGGGTGAATTCCTTATCCGCCTTACTTGACGCCGCTATGTTGCTATTTTCAAAATGTAATAGCGTGTGATGTTTCCTGGCGCACTTGCTACATACGGAACTCGAATTGCATTTTGCAACTAAATGCTTATCGCTTAAGCAGTTCAAACATAGGTTGTTTGTCTTTACTAACTTATAACGTTCGCTTGGTGAATATTTACGAAAAGTCGCACAATTATATAAATTACCGTGTTTATCTTTACATACTATACAAGTATGCTGGAGTGATGTCGGCGTAGCGGTTACGTAAGTTAACGACCCTGCTATTTTAGATGGTTGAGTCTGTCTACGGTCGACGCACCTTTTAATCTCCTGTTTAACGTTCGGAGAGCGCTGCATCACCTTTATTTGATCTCGCACGAACGATGCTAATGAATGAAAGGAAGGCATCTCCGAGCTACGATGCTCCATTTCAAACGCACGCACGGTGTCGGAGTCTAATTTCTTTAATGCTATATGGAGAAACACCACGTCCATAAGGTCATCAAACTTCAAATTCTTAAGTGCAGCCACCGATGCCACAAATTTATCTAGAAACTGCTCTAAGCCGTTGATGTTCGCGGATGATATAGGTTTAAGATCGAATATCTGGTTCAAATATTCGGAAGCTAACATTCTCCTATCTTCATATTTAGTTTTAAGCGTTTCAAATATTAATACGTAATTGTTTGCTGTAGGTGTAAAACCCGAGCAGATCGACTGTGCTCTGCCACTAAGTTTGCTAATTAAGTAATATAATTTTTCAGCGTCCGATAACGATGGGTTGTTGTGTATATTGTTTTGAAAACTACTGAAGAAGAAGGGCCACGTCTTAATATCACCATTGAATACCGGAATATCTATTGGCGGTAACCTAATTGAGTCACGAGGGCGTACCTGTATTTCCGGCTTTGCTTCGCTTTGAGATTGTAGGAGTTTTGCAGTTCTTTTTACGCGACACAACATATCTTCGAATGCCAGCAGCGGTTGGTAGTTCACTATGTATTTCGGGTCGCTTTGTAATTCCAAATGATTAATTTGGTCTAATATTCTTTCGTAATCTATCCGCAAAGTATCTATCGTTTCGATTTCATTCAAAAAGGCTTCCCGCACTGCCTCTATATTAATGTTCTTTATATAATTACTTATATTCTGCACACGCGAAAAGAGTATGTCCCTCTTGGCATAAAGCGTTTTAATTTTGATTTCACTTCCACTAACTGCCATTTTAAATTATTATAATAAAGTTATATTAATCACAATTAATCTCACACGCATAAACGACGTAGGATGAACACTCGGCGTGCCGTATTACGTAATCAGATCGAACACCCGTTGCGGTCGAGTCTACGCGTCGTTTGCTAAACCTAATAATTTTATCAAAATTGTGGGTAAGCGTATCAAACGGTTGCTATCACACCGTTTCAATTGTTTAATAAGCTTTAAATTTAACCAAATACGAGCGCTATTAAATGAATAATTCTGTTTGCGAGTACCAAATCAAATTTTTAATTTAAACGAACACTATTTAAGTCTATTCCATAAATTACAGTGCGTTATCTAAACAATTAATTTAAAATTCGACCAGAAAATGGTTGGATAACCACTAAACACCAATCCAGATCCTGCCGAAGTGACCATAAAATGGTGGAGCCACGTGTTTAAGGCTGCCGAAAATCTAGTTCCCCGGTCAAACCTCAAACCTATTACGCGAGATATTAACTAAAGTGGACTGTATTTGCGATTGCTTCTATGCTTATGTAAAAGCGACTACTATAGCATGCGGTACAATGCACTCGCTCTTCCCTAAACTAAAACTATTACTTGCCAAATCGATGAAAGGAATCCTGCCTGATGGGGAGAACACAGAATTGGAGCGGTTAAACAATTATTAAATATTAATCAGGCAGTAAATTAAGGAATGTTGACTCACCGGGGTTCTTCTATCCTTTAGAGCACTATAGCGGCGATTTCCGGAACCTCCTCTGGACAGACACTCTGGGGCCCCAGGGGTGCGTCAGGAGAGAAGCGTTGTAGTTCAACGACGGCTGCGGCGGGAAGAAGAGAGCGCGCGTCGGTCGCGCGTGTCTTATATATCCTCGGGTCCGATGATTACGCGATGTTCTAGAATCGTCTTCTTTCCCCTCCCACCCCATCACCCCGATGTGTCGATAGGAGGGTACGAATGATATCGTTTGGGAAAGGGAATAATGATTCGGCAAGTTCCTACCGTCAAAAATAAAAACGCGAATGGTTTTCCGCGCAACCAATCATAAAGACTCCAAGGGTTCCAACGCTCTATTATGAATTTCTTAACCTTCAGCTCACCATTCTCTCTTGTACCTAGTTTTTAAGTTGAAGTCTTCTAATAACATTGTATAGTGGATTTTGGAAGAATACATGGCTCTAGAAATATCGTCATTCATCTCCTTCACCTCCTCATTGGGATGTGCCGAAACAGTGCGTAAACCTGTTTGACCTTTAACAAATATTGTTAGTGAAGAGTATAAGGTAATATGTAAGTCTTGTCGACATACTACCAATGTTTACAACGTTGTTAATAAGATACTTGCATATAATAAACCTATTATATATGTAATAAACCATTTTAACTGAGCCATATAATGAACTATTTTAACTGAGCTTTGACCTATATTGTAGGTATATACATGATGATATATTATATGCCTAGGTATATATTATTTTCTGTAAGCGAAAAATTGTTCATCAGAAAACTTTCAATTATAAATAAAATTTTCCACCTGGTCAGTTGTTTTTAATGAAATTCCACTATACTATAGCGTCTATATACTTCCAATTAGTGTGATAGCTTTTTTGAAGTCACGACATACGACATATTTACGTGGTAGAGCCATGCTGTAGCTATATTAGTAGTATGGTTGTAGCGAAAATGGGTCGGCTCGACCAGGGAAGCACCATGCCAATAGTGTGACCAAGGAAATAGTAGCTTAACGCTGCTGTGTTTCGTATGGTGAGGGAACTGGAGACCCTTTTTACTGGAAATGAGGTATTCCATCTTAGACCTCTGGGGTGTCAACGCATCTGCATTTTCATATGTAATCAAGGATAGATGTAAATGTCTATAGGCCACAGCAACCACTTATCACCGGGTGAACTGTGTGCTCGTTTGTCACCCTATAAATATGTATTAAAGAAACACCATATAGCCTAGTGTTTTACTAAAATATAACTAATCCTTTTAATGTATTTTTTGCTACAGAGTGCTTGTTCTGCATTGAGGCGTCAAAAAGAGTTAGAACTCCAAGTGGTAACTGGTGAAGTACGGGGTTGGCCAGGTGGCGAACTTTCCTCCCTTGGGGACGTGCTGCATATGGGTAGTGTAGCAGTGGGCCCATCACATCAAGATAGATATCTTGTACTTTTCCAATCTGCTTTACTTCTATTATCAGTCAGCAAGAGAGTTTCGGCATTTGTTTATGAGGTTGGTTAATATGATCTTGTACTTGACGTTTTTAAAATTAAAAAGTAACACAGCTAATAGTCTATAGAGGAGCTGGATGAGGGAGAGAATATAATAATTCTAACACAATATATAATATAAGTAATGTTTAATGCTAGAAGCAGTAATTTAACTCTATGCTGCACTACAGATGCTGAGAGAATGTGATTCTGATATTAAAAATATATTCATAATATTTCATCCTTAATCTGCAATGCTGATACAAAAATTAATTAAAATTCAAATTATAATGTCAACTTATGTAATCTAAAATAGTTTAGCACTAAATTTAATCCTTAATATAAAAGTAACCGGTATATTTTTAGATCCGTACTGTTTTGTTTCAAAATTCCTCCAACTGTTCATAGTAATGTGTTATAAAATATCGAGCAGTTTTAATGTAATCTGCTTGTTATATTTTAAAATAACTATTACAAAAGAAACTGTATGTGTTACAAATTCAATATAAATAGTCATCTTAAAGCTTTATTATCAAAAATATTCCAGCTCGTAAGCAAAAGTATATGCAACCCTTTTTTCAACATTGGGTTTTTTCATAATAGTTCAGTAAATATAAATGCTTTTCATTTTTTAATGTATGTATATGATGCACAATGTGTATGAACAATTACTTATTACTATTGCAATTTAATTTTTTACGTCAGTTACATCTAAAGATTACCTTTTATTAAATATAAGTAAAAACATGTCAGGGAAACAAGACTAACTTTTTACGAGTAGTAAATATTATAAAAAGTAGGAAAAATTATTTGGCCACTTCTAAAAAATAATAATACCTTGCGTTATATACATAAACATATGTACCACCCACCCATTCACCCAGAAGGGTGGGCAGAGACTGGACTTCCATTTGGTATGATCCCAACACATCTACGTATACACGCTCGTTGGTTAACAGTACTCCTAATCTGGCCCATTTTCAATATATCGCCAATTTGGTGGATAAACCTTTGTCTAGTCCCTTCCCGACTCTGCCTTGCCTGACCCTTCACATCTGCAATATAAATTTGCTTTGTCACTCTTTCCTCGTTCATTCTTTCTACATGACAACCACCTACGCAATCCTGGTCACAACATCGTCTTGCGTTATATACTCACATAATTATTGCTCTTCACTAATCATGTTCAACTGAGAGGTATCAGGAACGCATACTCACGGCGGCTGCGATATAAGTAGAGGAACTATTATGCTGCCTAGAACTTTACTATTTCTGCCGCCAAGCATCTATTCACTCACTGCTGTTCCAGTTTGAAGGGTTAAAATACTGTACGTTAGCAGACTGTGTGGCATTTTATTTAACCTTCAGCGGATATCTGTCTTAAGTCTGCCTTCTTTGTTTGAAGTGAGTTATTAGTGTCCATGGGTTCCAGTAGGTAATTTACTGGGGATTAAGGAACAATATATCCTGTGAAGGTTGTCTATAAACATCTATACTTGCAAAAATTTGTTTCCCTCGTTGATCTAATGGTCATAAATGTAACTACTGATCCGTCTACAACCCACTGATCGATGAGCCGCCATTTAATCCCATTCTTTATCCAGACAGACTGTAGTTTCTTCTTTCTTTGTACAGACGGATAAATAATGGGATTAGAAATGGTGACACATCGAGCCCATACATTTAACATGCACAATACCATTAGCAAAAACCTGCTAATAACGGTATAACAGCATATTACTTAGATTAAAATTACGGTTAATTAGAAATTTTATTTTAATGGGAAATATTTAAAAAGAATTGTATATGCAATGAGGTACATAATTTTAAAATAACATTTATAATATTGTTGCGCGAATAAGTCGACGTCATGTATCCGGTACTAGCGCCATCTAGTGTCAGGGACGAGAGCGAGGGGAGCTTTCCAGAAAATGACATCACTAATCTTTTAACCGACAGCGCCATCTAGTCTCGGACGAAGAACTAAGCTTCTAGAAGACAACACTCGTACTCTCGGCCCCTTGCGCGTGCTTTCTTGAATATTCTGGACGTTTCGGTGCTAATTTGTATTTATAGGCGTTGCAAGATGCGATCGGGGAAGTATTGAATTCGGCGAGACAAGCGAAGCTTCGGAGCGGAATAAAGTGAATTAGTGTGCTTAATTATTAGTGTTTTAAGTCTTAATTTGTGTAAAGAAAATTAAAGTGTTAATTTAGGTAATTTTATCGGCAGTTTTTAATCGTCACGAACCTCAAGCTCGTAACAATTGGTGTCAGAAGTGGGATTAAATCATGCCGATTTTACCTAAGGAGGAAATGGAGGGTGTCCGTACCCGAAGTCAACGCCAGCAGGAGACGGACCAGAGACGATTTGGTGGTGCAACGCCACAGACGTCAGAGGGCCAACTGCCAGCCACGGAGGCTCGCACGTCAGTAGCTCCTACATCTGCAGCACCTGACTTAGGTGCTCTGATGGTGATGCTGCAGGAACAGACTCGCCGACAGGAGGAACAGGCTCGCCGACAGGAGGAACAGGCTCGCCAACAGGAGGAACAGGTCCGTCGGTTGGAGGAGCAGCTGCGGGGCGGACAGGATAAACAGGCCCGCCGACGAGAGGAACAGGCCCGTCAGTTGGAAGAGCAGATGCTCCTTATGAAGGACCTTCACGCTACCTTCGGGAAAGAGATACGGGAGGTGAAGGATAAGGTTGCTCAACATGACAACCGCCAGTCGGAAGCTGAAACCCGAATCGACCAAGTAAACAATCGGGTTGACAACGTAATGGCTGACGTGAAGAAAACGCTGGACGACCTCAAACTTGGGGATGGAACAACAGCTCCCGTAGTAGCTACAACATCTTCGCTACGTGGATTCAAAGTGCCGCCGTTCGACGGGACTTCTTCCTGGTCGGCCTACAAAATCCAGTTCGAGGCCGTCATGGAGGCGAACGGCTGGAATAAAAGCCAAGCCATGACTGCACTCACCCTAGGCCTACGTGATCAAGCCTTAACTGTGTTGGAAGCTCTCGGTAAGAAAGTGACCTACAAGCAGCTCCTTGAGGCGTTGGAGGCAAGATATGGCGACGCTCACCTGGAACACGTCTTTCGCGTGCAGCTTAAAGATCGCGTGCAACGCAGCAACGAAAACCTGCAGCAGTGGGCCCTTGAGGTGGAGAAGATGGTTCGAAAAGCATAACGGTCTGTACCTGCGCTCATTGAAGGGAACCTGGTGCAGACATTCATCGACGGCATCCGCGACCTGGAAGTCAGAGCTGCTGTGAGGCTCGGGCACCACGAGACGATTAAAGACGCCTTGGCCCATGCACTGGAGGTGGAAGCCGTGCGGCATGATCATCGTTCCCATCGCGTCCGGGAGGTTGCAGCAGCTACAGTTCGCGACCGCAACAAAGGATACAGCCCTAGGTGCTATGGCTGTGGGGAAAAGGGCCATCTTCGACCCAGCTGCCCTAAGCGAACCCTAGAAAGGGAAGTTGAACGATCTCAGGAGGGTAGTGCGGCCAACAGCACCGCCCAGCAGCAGCAGGGAAACGAGTAAAAGCCAGAACTGCGGGGCGGGTGCTGGCTGATGTTAAAAGAGCCTCAAGGATCTCGATCTCACAAACCCATGATGGGAACAGTCTAATCATCAAGGGCGAAGTCAACGGAATGCCGTGTAAACTGACCGTAGATACTGGAGCCTCTCGTACGGTTGTTAGTTCCCAACTTATAAGTCAGTTCCTTGGGGACTCCGCATACAACCGAAAACGCATTAATTTGGTAACAGCCACCGGTCAGCGTATACCCGTCCGTGGAGAGAAGGAGATGGAGTTGAAGCTAGGCAACGTGATCTACCTGCATAATGTAATCGTGGCTGATATAATGGACGACTGCATCCTAGGCCTAGACTTTGACTATGACTATGAGGAATAATTGTTGTGAGATCGACGTTAAGCAAGGTGTTTTGAAATGTGGCCAGGAGGAACTTTTTATTGAAGGTGCGTTACCAGGGAACGTGTACAGCATTAAGAAGATTGTTCTTCCGCCGAGATCGGAAACAATTGTTCCGGTTAGTCTTCCTCGAAACGCTGGGCAAGCTCACCATTGTGTACTTGTGGAGAGGGTAAACAATGACCTTCTATGGAAAGTAGCACGAACCTTGGTCAGGACCACTGACATCTCAGGAGTACGTGTGCTGAACCTTTGTAACCGGGAACAGATTATAGAAAAAGGCACACTGGTTGGTACTTGTGAGGAAGTGGATTGGTTACGTCGCTGCCAATATATGTCGAGTGGGACCCCCAGCAAGGATTCAGAAACGAGAGTGATCACACTTTTGGAAGACTGTCGCAGTGTTCTCTCCCCGAAGGAATTGGTCAAGGCGAAGAAGTTGTTACTCAAGTACGCCGATGTATTCTCATCAAACGATGCTGACATAGGAAAGACTGGCTTAGTTCAACACAAAATAAACACAGGAGAAGAATTGCCTATCCGTCAGCGGCCAAGAAGATTGCCGGTAGCACGTGAAAAGGAAGTGGAAACCATGATTGAGCGAATGGTGAAGGATGGTGTTGTTGAACCTTCATCTAGTCCATGGTGTTCACCCGTGGTGCTGGTAAAGAAGAAGGATGGCAGCATGCGGTTCTGTGTTGATTACCGCCGTCTGAACGACGTTACAAAAAAGGACAGCTATCCCTTGCCAAAAATTGATGACACGCTGGACATGCTTACAGGAGTAAAATGGTTTAGCACGCTGGATCTAAAAAGTGGCTACTGGCAAGTTGAAATTGACCCTAAGGACAAGGAGAAAACTGCGCTCTCGACGGGAAAGGGTCTGTGGCAATTTAAATTTTACTTTAAATTTACTTTAAAGTAATGCCGCTTGGATTGTGGAATGCTCCAGCAACGTTTGAAAGACTGATGGAGCATGTACTTACCGGGCTAATTGGCGATGCCTGTCTGGTCTACTTGGATGACATCATCATCGTGGGCCGTACGTTTGAGGAACACCTTCAAAACCTGGAACGCGTGCTCATGAAGATTCAGAGTGCCAACCTCAAGTTGAGTCCGAAGAAATGTTCACTATTCAAACGGTAAGTCAACTTTTTGGGGTATGTAGTGTCGGAAGAAAGTATCCGCACGGATCCGGAGAAAATCGCCGCTATCAAGGATTGGCCGGTTCCAAAAGACAAGACGCAGGTTAGAGCATTTTTGGGTTTGTGCTCCTATTATCGGCGATTTGTGAAGAACTTTGCAGATATAGCCAAACCTCTGCACAAGCTAACCGAGGAGAAGCGACATTTCTGCTGGGATGAAAGTTGCAATATCGCATTCCAGGAGCTCAAGGACCGTCTGTGCAAAACACCTATTTTGGGATACCCTGATGCAAGCAAAGAATTTATAGTTGACACGGACGCAAGTGATATAGGACTTGGCGGTGTTTTTTTTTTTTTTTTTATAGAATAGGGTGACAAACGAGCACACAGTCCACCTGATGGTAAGTGGTTGCTGCGGCCCATAGACATCTACATCTATCCTCCATTAAAAATCAAAATGCAGATGCGTTGTCACCCGTGAGGACTGAGATGGAATGCCTCGTTTCCAGTAAAAAGGGTCTCCGGTTCTCTACACTCACCATACGAAATACAGCAGCATTAAGCTACTATTTCACGCTGGTATTCTGTGAGAGCATGGTCCTTCCCCGGTCGAGCCGACCCATTCGTGCTACAACTATACTACTAATATAACTGCAGCATGGCTCTACCACGTAAGCCATGCTGCAACTCTTGAAAAAAAATTTTTCAAGAATGAAATGAATGAAAAAAATTTGATGAAAAATGTGTTGTCTCAACGGAATGGTAACCAAGAGGTCGTGATATCGTACTTCAGCAAGACGTTGTCAAAACCGGAAGGGAACTATTGTGTCACAAGACGCGAATTGCTAGCTGTGGTAAAGTCGTTGCAGCATTTTAGCAAATATCTTCTGGGGCGAAAATTTCACTTACGAACTGACCATGCTGCACTGAAATGGCTATTACAGTTTAAAAATCCAGAAGGACAAGTTGCGAGGTGGATTGAACTACTGCAGGAATACGACTTTGAGATCGAACATCGCAGCGGGAAATCTCATGACAACGCAAATGCATTGTCAAGAAGACCTTGTCCTGAAGATTGCAAACATTGTACTAGGCAAGAGAGTAAGGAAGTGGTATCCGTGAGGATGCTCAGGACAGACCACCTCAGCAACGAGTGGAAGGACAGCTTACGACATGCACAGTAGGGAGATCCGGACATCAAGCCGATTCTGCAATGGATGAAGGCCAGTGCTCCCAAGCCCAAGTGGAGCGACGTCTCAGCGATGAGTTCGACCACTAAAAGCTATTGGGCCCAGCGGGAAAGCTTGCTGCTTCAGCATGGAGTTCTGTGCCGTAAATGGGAAAATGTTCGGGGAGACAGCTGTCATTTGCAAATGGTCGTCCCTAAAGCTAGAGTACCGGATGTTCTACAGCTGTACCATAATGATTGTTCAGGAGGCCATCTGGGAGTTAAACGGACTCTACTGAAGATCCGAGAACGGTTTTACTGGGTCCACTGTCGAAACGATGTCGAGGACTGGTGTCGCAAATTTACAAGTTGTGCGGCTGTAAAGGGACCTCAGACTCGAAGTAGAGGTGCATTGAAGTTGTACAATGTTGGTGCACCATGGTAGAGAATAGCCATTGACGTGGCGGGGCCGTTTCCGGAGAGTGAAAGCGGTAACAAGTATTTCATGGTTGTGATGGATTACTTCACTAAGTGGCCAGAAGTCTTCGCCATTCCAAATCAAGAAGCTTCAACAGTTGCGGATAAGCTAGTTCATGAAGTCTTCTGTCGTTTTGGAGTACCTTTAGAGATTCACAGCGATCAAGGATGGAATTTTGAGTCTCAAATATTCCAGGAAACTTGCTGAGTTTTGGGTACTCATAAAACAAGAACGACTTATCACCCGCAATCTGATGGAATGGTAGAAGGATTTAATCAGACATTGGAGAGATACCTAGCAAAAGTTGTAGACAATCGGCAACGAGATTGGGACAAGCACATACAACCGTTTTTGTTGTCATATCGAAGCGCTGTTCACGAAAGTACAGCAGTGACACCAGCTTTCGCAAACTTTGGAAAAGAATTACGGCTGCCTGCAGACCTGATCACCGGGATACCACCTGATGCCCCACGCAGTATAACCGATTATGTAAATGACTTGCGGAACAAAATGAATGACATTTATGAGTACCTCAGACAATCGGGCCAGCAAATGTCTGAGAAGATAAAAACCCAGTACGACCGCAAAATGAACAATAAAGGCTTCGACGAAGGTTCACTAGTGTGGTTGCACAATCCAGTCCGCAGCAAAGGGAAATCTCCTAAGCTTCAAGCTAAATGGGACGGCCCGTACCGGATTGTAACCAGGATCAACGATGTAACCTACCGGATACTCTTAGGAGGGGGCAGTGTTGCGCGAATAAGTCGACGTCATGTATCCGGCACTAGCGCCATCTAGTGTCAGGGACGAGAGCGAGGGGAGCTTTCCAGAAAATGACATCACTAATCTTTTAACCGACAGCGCCATCTAGTCTCGGAACGAAGAACTAAGCTTCTAGAAGTCAACACTCGAACTCTCGGCCCTTTGCGCGTGTTTTCTTGAATATTCTGGATGTTTCGGTGCTAATTTGTATTTATAGGCGTTGCAAGATGCGATCGGGGAAGTATTGAATTCGGCGAGACAAGCGAAGCTTCGGAGCGGAATAAAGAGAATTAGTGTGCTTAATTATTAGTGTTTTAAGTCTTAATTTGTGTAAAGAAAATTAAAGTGTTATTTTAGGTAATTTTATCGGCAGTTTTTAATCGTCACGAACCTCAAGCTCGTAACAATATTCTAGTTATCCATTCTGGCTTCGCCTGAGTGTAAGATGTGGCTCTATTTAGACTTAAGATTATCATTAAATACCATTTATTTTAACTAATCAATATTTCCATTTTACTAAAATCTCACGATTTTTTGGATAAAATTTTGTCTAGATCTGTTCTGGTATTCCTTTCTATTTGTCCGTGAAGTCTTATTACAACCGGTTCAGCCATTCCGAAGATTAGCTTGGACGTACAGACAAACAAACGAAAATTTAAACTGTGCTTATTCATATCTCAATGGCATTTAAATCCTCATCATCATCATTACAGCCCTTCACAAGTCCACTGCTGAACATAGGTCTCTCCCAAGGAATGCCACAAAAGAAAGGAAAGCACGGCCTGAGCCACCTGCATCCATCGACCTCCTGCATGTCTTACCAGGTCGTCACTCCATCTAGTGGGGGGTTGCCTTAGACTTCGCCTACCGGTACGAGGCTGCCACTCAAGAACCTTTTTTCCCCATCGGATGTCGGTTCTTCCAGCTATATGGCCGGCCTATTGCCACTTCAGCTTACTAATCCGTTGGGCTATGTTGGTTACTCTGGTTCTACTGCGAATATCCTCATTTCTAAGTTTATCACACAGAGAAACCCCGAGCATAGCCCCCTCTATAGCTCGCTGAGCGACCTTGAGCGTCCTCATTTGGCCAGCAGTGAAGGATCACGACGTCTCACTATAAGTCATCACTAGCAACGCGCACAGGCTGTACAGTCGTTTTCAGTTTTTGAGGTATAGCTCACTCTCCCCCCCCCCCCCCACGGGCATGTAAATATTTTATACAAATATATTAACAAAAAAACCGACAGTAATTATGAAGAAAACTCTCAGAACACGTCTAGCTCACAAATTAGCGAAACTGGACTGTTTTTTTTTGTTTATGGCATTTTGTTATCATTGATTTTAATAACAAGTTGGACTGAAATTATAGGACGTACTCAAAACGGTTATCGCAGTGAGTGAGTATAGATAGTGTGCGAGTGAGAGGTAAATAGAAGCGATGCCATTTTCAGTCCCATTCTTTAACCACTCTAGTAGTTTCAATATACGAATAACTAATATATTTCTAGATTGTGTTGATTAAGTTAGTTTAAATGGTCCAAATTGATATAAATGTGTAGGTAAATTAGTTTATAGGTAATTATAGAAATAGTTTAGTTATGTGTTTGTTACAAATATACTATGTTTGTTTTAGGGATGTCTTCCATTAACAGGTATAACGGTGTGCAAATTAGATGATACAGACTCTAGAAAGAATGCATTTGAAATAAGTGGACCTATGATAGATACAATAGTAGCAGTATGTCAGACTAGGGCTGAAGCGGATAACTGGGTTAGCTTATTGCAAAAACATTCTAACACAAGCAGCCCTTCTCATGAACCTGGTCAACCACAGTCATTACCGCATGTAAGTATCATATTTAAAACAAACATAAAGAGAATTATATTTATATTATCACTTTTCCATATAATATAGTGTTTCCTTTTGTATACTGCAATATATTTTATAATTTCTTACATAGCTGACCCGATCTCCTTCCGAAGGGGCATTGTCTAGCATCAATACCAGTCGTCGAAGTCTCTATCATGTGACATTGCCGCCGCCTAGCTATCCCTCTGCATCGCCGTATTATTCCCTAACGAAGTATTTTGCACGTTTAGTTAAAAAAAAGGTTATCACACGACAAATGTTGCGGAGATTGTTACATGAGAGAACTTGGGCTAAAGCATTTGAGTTGTCAGGATCACTAGTGAGACGGAGGCACAAAAATCATATAAGATTAAGAATTGAGAATGATGGGACAATAGGCACTGAAACTGACTGTTCTGACAGTGATACAAATTCAGAAGACACCGACAGAGGGATGGATACAACTGAGACATATTCAAATTCATGTTGCACAGATTCTGAAATTAATGACTCCCCCAAAATGACGCGCCAAAACGCGCTGGATTCCTCTAGTCCACGAACGATATCATCTTCATGTAGCAGCTGGGGGGAGTAACTTTGGCTATGTACGTTACTTTGATGCATCCACAGACATGCATCTGGACGTAACACAGCCATATCTCAAGGGTGACTGTACTAAAGACATATTTCTACCGAAAATCGATACGCAAATGACTCCCGAATTCCATAGCAATGATCTCCATCCGCATTTCCAACATTCCGATAATAACGAAAATTCTAATTTCGATGTGAGATCTTATATGGCTTGCGAGGATTTAGTTAATATAGATCAAAATAGGCAAATTGGAACTCTCATAAACGATGCTTCTGATTTCATTCCTACAAGACGTAGTTTTCCACACTGCAGTGCGAAAAATGAATGTGGTCAAAAGTTGTGGAAATCTACTGAGGAAAATTATCTACGTGAAGATGCAGAAGGCACTGACAACGTTGGCACTTTCCTGCAAGATTTAGAGCCGCCATCACCGAAACATGATCGTGTGAGTCCGGTTGGCTCAATTATATTAGACCCACCACCTATGTTTCGGAATAATGATGACGATTTAAAAGTAATCAATGTCAATCTTAACACTAACGTACCATTTCGGAAACATTCTTTGAATTCTGATAAAAAAATACGAAGATCCGTATCCAAATCAATGGTTGAAACGGAGAATACTAAGAAAAACGATCTGCACTTTCAAAGAATGAGTTCTCAATCCGAAACACGTAAAGCAGCTAAGAAATGTGAGTGTTGTAACAGATCTCTTTGTCCGAGCCCTCGATCATCTGACTCGGGAGTTGCAGGTAGTTGCAACTTGGCATCCCCTGAATTAAATATGCATGAATATACAGGCACCGGAGGCGGTAGTAATGATTCAGATAGTCAAGCTAAAAGCCATGGAACACAGGATAATTTTCATACTGGTCATCGTAAGTTAACTTTGTCTGAAATCGAGGCGGCTGCATTTGAAGATCAATGTAGGTGTACTTCACCATTTGGCTCTACCGCAAGAACGTCCTGTGTAACAAGTGTAACATCTGAAAGTAACGTAGATGTTATAGACTCATCCAACACACTTGTTAAATCTACTTTTGTCGGTAATCCGCCAGTATCAACTTCTCAAATAAAACGCACCTCTATAAGAAGAAACATAGAACGATATGTACCCGAAATAAAACTCAAACCTGAAGTACCTCCACGGATTTACCGAAAGCCTAGTACTCATATAGAACATCCAAAAAATGTTCGTCATCCCATCCCTTGCCAGTGGAGTACGTTGAACATAACTGAACGCACTAAGCCCAGTTTACATTATCATATGCGCATATATAGAGAAAGACCAGATGAAAATACCACTAGTAGACCATCTCGTGAAAATGTGTTACGGAATTGCGATGTTTTTAATAAAGAAAATCGGTCGAAAGATGAGACTGTACGTAAGACGAGATCGAGGAGCGAGGATTTAATGAAGTCCCAAAAAGTTTTGACGGAAGCTCAAACAGGCTTTGTCGTGTACCGCTCCGATTTATATGCTCACTGGTGGATGAAAGCGAAATTACCCATTACCGTGGTCACCGACTCAGGCAAGGATTATTTTTTTGTAAAGAGATACTGTTTTTGTGTATCACCGGTTTTCAGTTTTGTAACCACTAGAATAATGCTGTCATTAGAGTGCCCCCAATATTGCAGTGCTTTACTCGATCATCCTTGCCTGTGTTTATTCATCTTACTAACTAAAAATCACTGCAAGTAGATGTCATACACTAACAACTTGAAAAAATGCATGGGAAGCTTAAATCCACATACTGTGGCCTAAGTTTGTGAAAAATTTCTATTTGTACTTTAAGAGTTTTAATAGAGATTATCCAAAAAGTGGATAAACTGTTCAATGGATCTGAGACCACGTAATAGTCTTGCGATTTGGTAATTTATTATTTTAATTCACCTTAGTTACTAGCTCGTGTTTTTAAGCCAGAAACATCAACTACGTTGGTTCAGGAACCCATTATATTAAAACCCTATGCTTTGAACAATTGTGTGAATACAGTCTAATTGCAGTAATTTTTATTAGAAGAAAATTGAATCGTGTGTTGTAGTATATTGACATTTGTGTATATTTGATGTAACTAATTGACTGACTACTTTTCAGATGGCCATGAGCGACAGTAGTAACGAATTATCATCAGGCCTCAGCAACCACAAAAGATCACATTCATTTAACAATCACCAAAGTTACACACAACATACGCAACAAACGCAAAAAAACAAGCACAAGAATCAATCTGCTCGCTGGCTCTTGAACTCCTGCGACTCCTTGGATCAATCACCTGTTAAATCTAACAAAACTCCAATAGGAAAGAAATTTTCATCCGTTGACTTTATTGACACAACTGACTCTGCTCATATAAACAAAGGTAATTATAACTAAAGTATTATATTATTTATTAGGTATTTGGCAATTGTTATTTTTAAGCATAATACATATCATACATATCATATATGCCAGGCAGACGTTGTTTTGCCCTTTTTGACGACCCTTTGTCATATCCTATTAAAAATCCTTAAATTCGCAAAAAAAAATTGTGGGTCACACATGGGCAAAAAAACTATCCTATCTCTCAAGTTGGACCCATCTGCACACGGTGTGCAAATTTTATTAAAATCAGTTAAGTAGTTTAAGAGTCCATCGTGGACAAACGTGACATGTAATTTATATATATTAAGATTATCATCATCATCTTATATATAAAAATCAATTGCTATCCGTTAGTCTTGCTAAAACTCGAAAACGGCTCGAAAGATTTTGATGATTTTTTGTGTGTATTTGAATGAATCCGTGGACGGTTTAAAAACTCTATTGAGCCCGGTAGGTGGCGCTATCATCGAGATCTAGAAATCACCCGTGCGAAGCCGGGGGATCGCTAGTCATAAATATAAAATAATGGATCGCAATTATTTGCTCAAGCTCAGACCAACTAAATAGATAATAGATATAGATGCAATGTTGTTAAGCACACACACACATGGATCCAGAATTGTTTTTGTGCCAGTTTACTCACTGTGCCCATCTTAACAAAAAATCGCTTTAATTATTATATTAATATGTTACGTTCCATTACAGCGTATCAGTACTCCTCTACTGAACATAGGCCATATTAATTATTGGAAAAACAAAGTGACTATTAGTTCTGTATTTGATCTGAATTGCATCCAAGAAAATATATTACAGAGGTATTTTCCGACTGTACAGACTGATAGGCTACACAAATGATTTTACCACTACAGCTGTTTATAATAAACATGAAATATCCAGTTAAAATATGAAACAACATTGGATGGAGATCCTATATTTTTAGATTGTAATATACAGGCTTAATTAATTGTAATACACCAAAAAGCTCTCAAACCGTAATTTTTTTATTTAATATCTACAACTTTAGTTCTAAGACTGTTTTGCTTCAAAAACTTTTGCTTCAAAACGTTTGATTTTTTTTAGAAATTTTGCATTTTCACTACACTACAACATACCGTATTTGTGCGACGTTTCAGTATTTCACTGACGAATGGAAATACTGACGTAAAAGCTTAAAAACCCCCAACACTATACGGCTAAATAGATTTTTATCAAACATTATATTCAAAAGTCGTAAAATTGAGGAATGTTTCGTTTTCTTGCAGTGATTGAAACTCATTTTTGAATTATTTTATAATTTATAAAAAATTATGCAAAGCTCAAGTCAGATCATGCATGGAGTATTGTAGTCACCTGGCTGCCTTAGCAAAATATCAATTTGCCTCATTCGGCTCAGTAGAGCGCAACGCCTAGAGGCTTTTCGGTTATTGTGTAAACCAAGCTTCACAGCTTAGCTAACCGCCGCCAAGTGCTTGTTTGTCGGTCTTTTACAGATTCTACTTTGGAGAGTGTGCCTATGAGCTTCATAAGCTCATACCGCTATTTCCTTTCTACTATCGGGGTGCCAGTAGTACTTTAGGTTTACCATCCACACTTGGTTGATATTCTGAACATTCGTACTAAGCGCTATAGCATATAAAGTCATCTTTTATAATGTGCTTCTACTTTATAAAAAGTTTCTTTGAGTGCTTATAGCCTGTACATGTTCAAGGTGCGTGTGAACAAGCTTCTCCTGAGCAAACTCCCTGAGCAAACTCACTCATCTTTGCTCTCGGGCTAGATGGAAGTCAAGAGTAAACCCATCTTTAAAGAAAAATAAAATAAAATGAAATTATGAGGTTCGAACCTTTTTTCAATCTTTATATATATATATATATATATAAATCCTACATGTTACTACATGCTAATATAGTATTCTCATAAACATAGGTTATAAGGTAAAATCAATAATAATAATTGTTGTCCATGATATGAACTTTACATTCATTTCACCCGCACCGCACGTCTTACATTAGCAACAGTGCGATTTTGTTATTGTTTTGTTTCACTCTTTTTTCATAGAGTTTTATGAAACATTTGAAATAATGCAAATATTTTTTGTATGAAAAATTTTATGAGCGAATTTTCAAAAGTCATAGAATAAAGGCAAGTGTGAATCAAGGATTTTTATTTGGGGGGAGGGGAGCCTCGGGCCTCGGCTCAAGATTTTCAAAGATGTTTAAAGCTAGAGGTACACGTAATTGATAAATAAATTAAAGACGATCCCCTGCATTAAGTGCAACATGCGCACAGGTACACCCCTATCCATCTGATAACTTAACGCTTGCCAAGTGTGGCGACTATAGCAAATATCCTTCTTATGAGGCAATCTGTTGTGGTGAGGCCTTATGTTCAACAATGTACTTTGATAGGTTATAATAAATTTACGAAAAAAAAAACATGGCAAAACAGCGGAAATTCCATTACCTTGATGTGGCGAAAAATTTTATTTTATTTAAGTTAACTTAATGATTTGTTATATTTACTACCAGAAACGCTGCGACGAATTAAAAATAAGCAAAAATCAAACGCCATAAAATTCGTAAAGTTAGTTTTAACTTTTTGGATTGTTAAGGGTGGAGCATTACATGTTTACGCCCTGCACCACCATTGAGACCACAATCATTCACGGTCGGCTCGGACGAAAACATCGGGCCCACGCATCCTTACGCACCACACCAACGAAAATCTAACTCCTACGAGGAAGACGCCCTTATTTTGAAGGTTATCGAAGCATATTGTACTTCGGCGCGGTGTAGAAACGCCGTCAGTTCCGGTGAGTGTCATATCTTTAATAATCTAAATAGATACACTAACTTTTCTCCAACTAGATCTTTAACATTGTAATACCATGTTTGTGCTCGTTTTTTTCATACGTTTTTCATTTTGTAAGTGTGATATTTTGTGGAACTGTGATTATTTTGATTTCGGCCACTGTGTAAGAATGCTTAAATACCGGAAATTGACAAAATATTATAGGAATTAAATACATATTATACATACACAATATAATTATAAAAATTTTACTTTTGTCGTGCCCGATGGAATGTGTTTTTTCCCTTTTGTTATTTTGAAATTATTACGGTTAATGCCTCAAAGTGTACCGATACAGTATTATTACAATCGTTTAAAAAAATATACGGCGTTTTTGATATTTTTGAAATAATGGTATCTCATAATATATTTTTATTTACATAACACAATATAAGAGGTTTCTACTAACAAAGCTTTAATTATTATGCAGTACCCAATATACCCCTGGAGATATTCGAGTCGACAAGGAGAAGACACGCTAAGTCAAGAAACCGTATTATCAGTTGGTTATTAGAGTGAACGATCTGTTGTCTCGTAAATAATACCAAATATAACCATATTTTATAAAGTAGCGCCTCATAGTAATATATTGTTGTTAAAGTATGTCGTTAGTGCTATGAATGTTACAAATATAAATATAATTAACATACTATATAAATATGTATATATGTGTGTGTGTTGCACATCGGTATACTACTTACTAATAAGTAATAACATAATTGTCGGTGTTTGTGACTTTTCCATGACTGCTAGTGCATGATGCTGAAGCATGTTTTAATTTATTTTTATTAGATCTGTCCCTAATTATAATTAGTTGTACTAATGGTAAATATAACCTGTTATTCTTTGTTAACAGTACAAAGTAGCTAGTCATTATAGTGATATGAAACGGCACACAATTTTTGATACTTCAGATAATATTAGTGAAATTGTGTGTGTAATTTGCAGCTCCTACTACTACTACTGCTCCTATTCCTAGACTAGACGTAGCGAAATGTTTAAACAATGGTTGTCAGAGAATCTCAGTCATTTAATTATACAATTAAATTATTTTAGAATTAGAATATCAAGAAAATGACAAGCTTTTTATGTATGCACATAACTTGCAGACTGTAAGTCGCTCTCTTAAGCTGTATCCAGTAATAAGTAAATAAGCTATTAATGTAAATTGACTAAACTATTAATCTAAACCTGAAGTTCGTTGCCAAATGGTACGCTGAACCTTTCTATTTTGTTACATGCGGCTGCCTTTATATCGCACCTGCAGTGGACTGCGGCCACTTTTCACTTGGTAAAGTACAATATCATGCACTCGCTACTAACAGCCCTAACCGTAACAATACAAAATTGCCGTTCATGCTAAGGAGCGAAACGCCCGATTACGTCGGTTGCAGCAGGTCGACTAAAGTGAAGCGTAACAAAAGTTCGTCGGCAGCGGACGCATATTTGTATCGTGCACCGGAAACCCGTCGACTGCTAGCAGATAGGAAGTTCCTGATGAATCGCTCGAACCCAAATCTGTGGGAGTGTTCGGAAGAACGAGATCATAGACGAAGGTTACATGAAAGCCGCGAGCGACGGAGCGGTTCACACCCAAGTCTTGCGGCTCCGCTTCATTCAGTAGCGCCCGCTCCCGTGCCCGCTCACGCTGCACGCTCGGCCCGCTCTTCAACCTGGTGTTGCGGCAATTTTGTTAAACAGCTCACAAAATCACATCATTTTGATTGACAGTAACCTTCCTCGCTAGCATGTTATTTAGCTAAATGCCTCATGTACAAAGCCTTGTGCATTTTTAGTCGAGTTTATCATACCATTATGCCGGTATTCAGAGACGGATTCCAATTTAAACTCAAACTTTACAATGTCAAATTTGAATGTAATGATGTGGGAAGGCAAACTTGCTGTTAGTACAGAAACCAAAGCTGCTTCGACTTGAACGGATCTTATGTTTCTACAATAGAAATAAAGTCAACGCATTTGAACACGCACGTATTTTATTTTTCTTTACTTTTAAATGGGTTTAAAAGTAAAGCTATGTTACCCAAAATCAGGTAATTTTGGATATTTGTTACTTACATCGGATAAAATATTGTATTTTTCTCTGCACATACATATTTAGTCCATATTAAAAACCGTTTTTGTGGCCTGTGATTTTCGAGATTCTAGGTTAAATGAGAACAACTTTTTTAACTTTGACTCTTCTGATGGTAATACGGTAATAAACGCCTTCAAAGAACTTGATTAGACTATAGAACCTTGCTAAAATGCAATGAATTGACCGTTAATTGGATTAATTTAAAATTGTTTCATTTTTTATATAAAAGCTTTTTTATTCAAATTGTTTTCATATTAGGCCACGAACATATTGTTTAGAGGACTGAAGTGTCCATTATAGTTATTTTGTATAGTTAACTGTATTTCATTACACCCAAAGTTTACTTTGCCTGTGACTTTTTGCTTAAGTACTTTTCTACGTGGTAGAGCCATGCTGCAGTTATATTAGTAGTATAGTTGTAGCACGAATGGGTCGGCTCGACCGGGGAAGTACCACGCTCACAGAATACAAGAGTAAAATATTAGCTTAATGCTGCTGTGTGTCGTATGGTGAGTGTAGAGAACGGGAGATCCTTTTTACTGGAAACGAGGCATTCCATCGTAGTACTCACGGGTGACAACGCATCTACATTTTGATTCGTAATCGAGGACAGATGTAGATGTCTATGGACCACAGCAACCACTTAACATCAGGTGGACTGTGTGCCCGTTTGTCACCCTATTTATAAAAAAATAAAGTAGACTTGACCGTCTCGTTACACTCTAGTGGTCGCAAGCGCGATCGCGAGCGTGGTCGGGCGAAAATCAATTAATGGTTTCATACTATGTCAAGTAATTCTCAGTACCAGTCCGGAGTCAGGAAGCTGACGGTGTTTTATCCCCTGCCTCGAAAAACACATAAACCGTTGGTACTGCGCTTGATTTTTCTCCGGTCGTGTTGGTTTGCTGTCCCATATATATATATGGGACAACAAACAGTACTCTACTCTTCCCACAGAGTAAAGAGTAAGGACCAGAGGTGAAGCTTCCTTACAACGTCGAAAATATATAACCTATTCTGATAGGGGTGTCACATGATGCATGTGAAAAATTTAAGGAAAATATAAATATATTATATAGTATAAAACAGAAATGTAACAACAACTAAACTATTAGGCATTTTGCTTATAGAGAACACATTATTTACCTACATAGATTTATAATAACTTAAATCTAATTATTTTAATTAAAATAAATCTAATTATTTACTAATTGCAAACAAACTTAATAAATTAATTGGTATATAAAATTTCGAAATATTGTGGGTGTATTTATTTAAATGCGCACGATTAACAGCCCTTTCATGGATAATCTGACTGAGCCGGCGTAAACCGGTTCCGAGCTCCCGCACACATCGCTGCACTATGTATGGGTGTATTCGCAGCGAGCCGTTTGTATGTAGCTTCCCCTCTGGTCGGTTTCTTTACTCATGTGCAATGATCTATAATCCTGTCCTGCGCAGATGTCTAAGCTCCGTTGAGACTGGCCATCGTGGCTGAAATTCAATCTGGAAGACATTATTATTATTTATATAATTTAAATTAAATTTACGTCACGTTCTGTATTATTCAGATAACTAAGATTTACGATATGAGTACCAAGAAATAATATAAACTTCAGGTGGCAGGCCTGTAAGTTTATACTATTTCGTATATTTACTATATACGTACATTTCGCTTCCTTAGCGCGCACTTCCACAGCGCTTTTAGGCCAGTGATTTCAAAGCTTTCCCGCTGTATATATAGTCAAACTCATACTTTGAATTAATTTAAATAAAAAGTGTTTTGCAAAGTATGGCTGGTAGTCAAAAAAAAAAACGATAACATTTTGAAAAGGTTTTTGGCTATGGCGAATAATGCAATATGTCTACTTACAGCAGTATTGCTTCCCACATCGATTCATCATCATAATCAATCATTATAACCTGTCAAGGTCACTACTCAACAAAGGTGTCCCCTATAGATTGTTAGGCCTTGTTAGGCCAGTTAGCAACCGTTTTTTAAATTGTATTTGTTATCAGGAAGATGCTATTTTCCATCTCCTGTTTAAGTTCCCTCTCTTTTTATATGGATTATATGAGGTAATGAATATTTTAATGCCGCATGAACTCGACACGGTATGATTGTTACCGGATGATTGTTTTATTTCTATTTTATTTATACCGCCACTGCAAGGCCCACAATTTTGACATAGTGAAGTTTGATTTAAACTCGAGATTGTCTGAATTTCTCACCGGAATTAGGAATGTCCTTTGAAATCCATTCTTGTGCGGCTGGAAGTGTACATAACGACTATTTCTGTATCATCAAATATATAAAATAACTCCGCTTCTAACAAACACATGATTTCTTATTGTATTTACTCGTCTGCTTATTTCGGTTCAAGTGACTCGAATTATCATGCCATAATTTCAACCGAGTGTGCACATTTGACATTTATCGGTATATCAATTTTAAAATTAGCCAAAGACATTTAAGTATATAGTAGTAATAGACCGGACATCAGCAACAAAATTGTCGTCTGTAACTTTTGTCCTATAGGATCTCCGATTTTTGTCATTTAGTCTAAGTGACATCACCGAACGGTCAAGACGCATTCGTTCGGTTGTGCACGAAGATTAAGGTATATTAAGTCACAATATGGAGCAAAAAATGAACATGATTTCGGTTTATTATCCTAAGAATAATGTATATTTAGCAAATAATCTTTAAATTTTATTATTTCCGTTAGATTGTTATGGAAGAAAGAAAAATTATTATAAGTGCCCTCTGTTATCCAGTAACGTCACTATTTATTTACAAATATGTTAGTGATTGACGACGTGCTTAAAACTTTTTTTTTAAAACGATTTTAACCTTATGTTTAGAAGCGTCACCTAATGGGAAATAGCTAAAATGTTTTCCAAATAAATATTCAGCGTAGTATTGCTATTTTTCGCTAGAGGGCTTAACACACGCGCGTGCTCACAGTTTTTGTATGCAAATGTTCCCAATGTCCGCTCTATAGTTATTATATATTTAAATCTCTTTGAAATTAGCCCTGTTGATGTCTTAACTTTGTTTGTTTTACAATACTTGACGATAATATATTTAGATCGTATTCGAAGAAAGTGTTATCTGTGACATAAAATATGCTTTTAAAATATTATAGAGATAGATGCATGAACAACACATAATATAATAGTGTTGTATTAAAGTAAAGTTTGAACGAGATCTATATCTAGTTATCTATGTCAACATAGACTAATTTGCTTTATTTGATGCACGTGTGCAGTATTATTAAAATAATGAATTTAATTTTAAGTTTTGCTTTATAATAAAATATAAAATTTTGATGGTGCATTAATATTGTTAATTGTATATTTATATATGCATATATAGTGGTTTTATTAGATTAACTCATAGTATATATTTTTATATAATGTTATATAAAAATTGATTTTAAGAAGTTAGCTATTATATTATATTATATCTAGTTTTATGTACACCCACAAATTTTCGTTGATTATTTGAAATTCTACTTTAAGATGACGGCAAAAATAAGCGATGTACCTTGTAAATGTACCAAAGTACGAAGTACATTTATGTAATTTTTAAATATTTACACCAGACGATAAAGTTTAGCATTTGTGTTTGTAACTTAACATAAAAATATTTGTTTCTAATTTTCGCAAATTATACATTTTTTCTTAAAGCTTATTTTATTTACTTTACTAAATTAAACATATTTCAGAAAACAACTGTCGTTTTTAACTAAGAGCATTCATAAGCAAGTCTTAGGTTATTAGTAACGTATACAGTGTTAAAATAGTTATATTTGCAATATATGTGTTCATATAGCAATATTCTCGTAAAATATGAAATATAGCAATTTTTATTTTCGTCGTGCTGTAATATTCGTTTATTTGCTTGAACTTGTTTTTGGTCTAGAGTGATATAATTTAGAAATATTAGGACTTTAAAAGATGTTCTTCTGACTTCTTCTGACGTTTATTTTACAGAGATTATTTTTCATAAATTTGGATGAATGTGAAATACTGTCACAGATTTATTACTGTTGTAAGCTTACTATAGCCCAATAAATATATTGGGCGAATTTCTTGACCATTATTTTAATCAATATGTTAAAGGATTTGCTTCCGAATTACTACCTTATAGTATTCCGAGTTTTGTGTTACAAGATTGTGTTTACATCTATTTTTCAAATTAAGAATGTTTGTATTTTCTAAAAATTCAGTATTATACTGCTTAATATTGTACTTTTGTGATCCCCCCGTACTATTTAGTTGAAGATCTTAAACTTTTTCAACAATTTTTTTTGTTAATGTAAATCTCTTGATGATAAAAATGGAGGAAGAATTTATATTGTGTATTTATTTACATATTTTCTTTTACATTTTTTTAGTAAATAATGTAAATGAAACTTAACACGAACTTTGAGGCCATGCCTTTTATTTAATGTTGAAAACGATAGCAGAGAACTTCAGGTGCATTAAACTCAATTGAAAGGAATTTATATATTTTTCAATATATCTATATATTTGCTAAATAATGTGTCCAAACTCGATGGTCCGAAGGTGAGAGGCAACGTCATCAATAAAAAATCACCATTGCGTATTTGTCGCTGCTGCGCTCACTTGCAACCTAGCGGTTTTTAAGGCGGGCGTGGTGTTAAAATGCGGCAAATCTTAAGTTCTGATTCGTGTAAGGAGTCCAGTTGTGGAATAAAAAAGCTTGTTAAAGAAGACGAAACGCCATTAATTTAATTCCACATTTATAAATAAATTTGCTTTTAACAGATTATCTATTCATACACGCACTACGCGGCAAACCTCCCGATACCAACCACATCATCTGGATGCTTGGCGGTCCACCACTTTACGTTTCACTAAGAGTTTTCTTCCGCGTACGACCTGGGGACCTTCAAGAAAAGAGCTTACTCCTTTCTAAAGTGCCGGCAACGCACCTGCAATTCCCCTGGTGTTGCGGTTGTGCATGGGCTGGGGTAGTTACTTAACATCAGGTGAACCCTATGCTCGCTGGCCCCCTGTTCTATAAAGAAAAATATCATTTGCATCTATTTTGGCGATATATAGATATTAATAGTATTGTAATGCGGAGATATTTAATTAAAGATTTATATACGTGTGCTAAATAAATTGAAGCAAGTGTAACGTATTTTACGCAAGTATAATATAACGTTAATATCATTCTTTACTATAAATAAGTCATATTTTTTGTACATTTTATATTTGCTAAATATATCTTCCATGTACGTATTAAGTATTTCTGGATTTTTTTTTGATGCCAAGAATTGTTTAATATTAGTGACGATTTTTTGTTTAAGTTTTCTTTTTTAAGTCTTTAGTCGCAGAACATTCATAATAAATAAAAGGTTTAGAAATTTTATCAGTTTATTAATATTGGTCGATGGCTTGGCTAAACGCTTATCGTAAATTTCCCTGTAAATGCACAAAAATAAGTTTTAAGTGCTTATTTACCGCGTACACGGTTGTGAATAAAAATCTTGCGAAGAAACCTGCATTCCTGAGAAATTCAAAATGAATATTCCGGAGACAAGTGAAGTCCCCCAACATGCTTTGGGGTGACGCGACGGACACTCCCTTTCCCTTAAATATACAATATACATAAATATATACAAGCACTAGTCGTGAATATGCTGTACCTTTACTCCTACTATTAATTTTTGTTTACCAACCTGCGTACTTACAATATGATATTCTTAATGCCATGTACTTATAGTAGTTGCTAAATCGATTGAGAAAAACCGACAATGACCTCAGATATGGGCCGAGTGTGAAAAGGCGTAACTTACAAAATCTCAATTTAGATGTGATAACAATATTTAAATATTGATATTATTCACACTTCTAGGTCAGCACATATGTTTTGTTTCTTAAAAAATATTGCCTGTGGTTCCTATAAACATCGTAAAATCATACGGTACATCGCGAAAAATGTGATATATTTTATATTTCAATTTATGGTAAGTAACGCAGCAAAGTTTCATATTAAAAAATATTTGAAGCAATATAAACACCATATTGAGCTTTTGCAAATTCATCCCGTTAAAATAAACAAAACGCGCGTTATGTCAGTTCGTTCTAAAAGAAACGTGACAATGGCAGCCAGAGACGCGACAATTTTTTTGGGCCGGTCTGCATGCACCGAATAAAAATAAAGTTATTATATGATATTGAAAATAAAGTTTTATCTTTTGAATAAGTACGTACTTATTTGGTGTCGTTATCACTCGAATCTTTATATGTGTTACAAATTAATTGTTGTTAAATAAATAAGGTACTTTATAACAATAGATGATGTTTCTTCTACAGCGATCTTTTACATAACTTTTTAATAATAGTTAATAAATATAATATATTATATCAATCATTATTAAAAAAAAAAATAAAAAAACATAATGATTTCTTAAAATTACGCGAACACTATACATTGATTAAAACTACTTTTACGGATTTTATCGCGTTTTATTTAAATTAATTTTAATAACGTCGGGTATTAAAATTAATATAAATAGAACGCGATAAAATCCGTAAAAGTAGTTTTAAAAAAACATTATAAATAAAGTACTACATATAAAAATTGCCTATATGTTGAAAGTTTGTAGCCCCTGGTTAAACGACCGAAGTCATTATCCGTTTTCCTCAATCGATTTGGCACGTACTATATAGTTCAATTATTGATTTTGTTTACATTAAACCATATAATTTTATCTCATTCGACGTTTTGATTTAAAAGTATGATTAAATGGTGTCGCTACTTCCTTACTTTAATTATCTGCGCTTAGTACAGATGTTTTATTTCACGAAGGTGGGCGAGCCTTACTTGTAGTTGTGATATGTACAGACACGCGTGTTTGTGTGCGTGACTTCAAGTAGCGATAGTATGTTCCAGACTGATGTAATCCAGCGTCCCAACAGAGGTGACTTTGGTGAGAGCGTGGTTTTGATTCGTGGATTGTGTTTTTTCGGCTATTCGGATCACAACCGTACGCCAACATGGTGGAATTTCACTGTGCATCGCGCTCACGTAGAATTAAGATGTAGAAATGGCTCCTAATGTGTCTAAATTTCAAATAGTGGGCCTTACTTTTTCAGTTTTGTACGCAATTGAATACGCACAGCTATCTTGCTTAAGATGTAATCCGCTGACTTTACATCTTATAATTGCGTATTCTTGCGCGTGCCAAGGACGTTGCAGGTCAAATAAAAATTTGGATTACATCTGCCGTCTAGTCTGATGGCAACAAGCACTGTCATCTCTGTTGGAACGCTGGATTACGTCCATATGGAACATGCTTTAGTTAACTCATTGTAATTGAATTCAATAATTTACGAGTAAGTTAGTTAATAGTATTAGGCGTTACTTTGCAGAAATCCATTATATTAAAATTGGTACAAATCATTTTGCTTATACCCGCATATTGAGATTAAATGATGTGTTTTACCTAGTTTGAAGAGCACCTCCCGACCTTCCTCAATTGTGTGAACTATCCCCGTCACCACTACACTAGGAAGACATACCACCGTCAGATAATACGACATGTATTTCGCCTTTACACCAGGAATTTTCATGTGAAGTAGACTGCGGTGCCTGACCGCTAAGTGTGCGGCGAGTTCAAACAGCTACTATACTGAATGACCGTTTTTACCTTCAGGAAAAAAAATAGGGTGTAACATGTGAACGGAGTAAAAGCCTATGGCACTGATATTTTACAAAAAATAAAAACAAAATTTTGAATTACTCCGTTCACATGTTACACCATATTTTTTTCCAGACGGTAAAAAGGTCATCCAGAATATACATCTCGCTGACGCCACCACTCCCCAATTAAGTAGCAAGCGACCGCGTTATGCAGTAAAACATGCGACTAATCACCACCTGACGTACGCAGCCCCATGTTATAAAATTAATAATAAGAGAAATTATCTTAAACATATTTAGGCCTGCTCTCTAATAACATACAGCCTCGCTTTATGATCGTTCGTCACCCTCACGGTGATCAGCGATTGGTTGCATGATTGAAGGGTAGGCGGGCGTTTCGCAGCGGTTTATTATTAGTTTTATTACAAGCGGCTGCGTACGTCAGGTGGTGATTAGTCGCATGTTTTTACTGCATAACGCGGTCGCTCGCTAAGGTGGTGATTGGTCGCATGTTTCATCACATCACACGGCCGTTCCCTACTTCAGCGGGGAGTGATTCAGCGAGTTGTATAAAGCAACGTTTAAGCCAAATTTACACATACGCGTGAGTGGCAAGGCGAGTGGCGATTCTAGGAACGAGCACGAATTTGTTTACAGTGGTTCGTCATTCGCCTCTTGTTTTGCGTCGTCGCTCGTGTCAGAAGCGGTTTTTGGACCCGAGTCAAAGGGAAAAAAGCAGCGAGATGAATAAAAACCTAATTTACTTACACATTCGCTCTCTATAGTATGTGCCAAATCGATTGAGAAAAACGGACAATGACCTCAGATATGAGCCGAGTGTCCAAAGGCGTAACTTACAAAATCTCAATTTGGATGTGATAACAATATTTAAATATTGATATTATTCACACTTCTAGGTCAGCACATACGTTTTGTTTTTTGATTCTTAAATCATGTTGTCTGTGGTTCCTATAAACATCGTAAATGTGTTAATTTCAATTTATGGTAAGTAACGCAGCAATTCATTTAATAACAGTTTCATATTAAAAAAAAAATATTTGAAGCAGTATAATCACCATATTGAGCTTTTGCAAATTCATCCCTTTTAAATAAACAAAACGCGCGTTACGTCAGTTCGTTATAAAAGTAACGTGAGGTAGCTAGACATGCGTCACCTTTTTTGGGCGACGACGTAGACTTTTCATTTCTTAAAGCGCTCTTGACGCGCGTGACCATTTGGTATTTATTTTCTAAAACGTTATTCATTTATGTTGTGTAGTACTATGGTAGTATATTTTTGTCATTTATTTACAGGCCTATCTTCTGGAGCACCTTTAACGTCACCAGTAAAAAAGAGAAAACCTACCACTTTGTCGGTCGGGGAACAAGAGATTATCATAAATGTATACAAGTATGTCAAAAACACCTGGACCGAAGACGTGTATCTTAATTTCTTCAGGAGTCAGCAAGAGCACGCGTATCGCGTATTAAGCATGTATGGAGATTCCTATAAAATACCAGAAACGGAAATAAATAATAAAAAAAAGAAGTCTGTAATTGACAAGTTTGACGATTTTGATAAATCGGCTATAAGAGCGAAAGTGCATCAGTTCTTTCTTGCAGGAGAATTACCGACTTTAGACATGGATGATTGAATTGACCAAACTGCAGACCGCTTTATAATTAATGATACAGACAGTTCATCTGAATACACATCAAGTGAAGAAACGAGTGATGATTGCACAGAATAAAAATAAAGTTCTTATATAATATTGAAAATAAAGTTTTATCTTTTGAATAAGTACGTACTTATTCGGTGTTGTTATCACTCGAATCTTTATATGTGTTATAAATTATTGCTTTTTGTTGTTAAATGAATAAAGTACTTTATAACAATGGATGCTTTTTCTTCTACAGCGATGTTTTACATAACTTTTTAATACTAGTTAATAAATGTATATTATATTAATCATTATAAAAAAATAAAAAAAAAATCATTATAAATAAAGAAAGTACTACATATAAAATGTGCCTATATATTTAAGGTTTGTAACCCCTGGTTAAACGACCGAAAGGTCATTGTCCGTTTTTCTCAATCGATTTGGCATATACATAGTGCATTTCGTAGCAAACGGCCTATCAAGCAACATAAACGAAATGAACTGGGAAAACAATAAATTTAGAAAGATTTGGAGCTTTGCCAAAGTCAGCCAGTCATTTGGAATCTAGAATATGCTCATCATAAGAATAAGTAGAAACTATACAATGTTTGATCTAGTATATCAGAAATAATGGGAGTACTAGTGAACGATTTAAAGTTGAAGATTTTTTGATTATATAAGGCCGTAACAGGAAGAGGGTAGAAATCTCCACAGGGCAAGGTGTTCTGCTCGGGGAGTGGCAACCTCCGCGTTTAGTTCGCGTATAGTAGCTATTCTATATATAATGTTTTACTTTGGAACTTTGATAGCGCGATTTAGGGTTCGATGTGTTCCGCTAGTGGCGCGACAACAGCGCTGTATCACCACCCTTCTTCTCAAACCGGAGGCCGATAATGCAGTTCGTTTGCTGGTACGTCCTTTATGCCGGTAAAGAATGCATGTTGTGTGCGTAAGAGCAAGTGACACCGGTGCGAACGATATGTCGATATGTAATGCATGCCGTACACTTGCAAGTGATGCCGGTGAGAACGATGGGCCGAATTAAGTGCCTGAAGTCTGCCTTTTAAATCTGCGGTTGGACTGGCCTGCAGGATTCAGCTGCAGAAGACGATTATCAGGATTAAATGATAGTAGGAGTTATTGAAGATAATCGAAAAAGGCTTGAAGATGTAGTATCCGAAACTTGTGGGTTGCTTGTTCACATCATGTCGGTTGGTCACCAATTTGGCCGTGGAATGAAAAAGTTAGATCTCCCGCCGGGCAAGGTGCTCTGCCCGGGGAGCGGCCAAAGCTCCGAGTGGTACTACGAAGCTATTCTATATACACTGTTTTACTTCGGAACTTTGATAACGCGACTTAGACTTCGATGTGTTTCGCTTGAAGCGCGGCGACAGCGCCGCCACAGATGGCATTCTTTCGTAGACATCGACGCAAAAAGCTGGCATCAATAAAATCTGGTATAGGAGAGGACGAACTAATTATAGTGACTGTGAATCCAATGGAAAAACCGCGAAGTAGAAATGAATACTCGTAAGACGCGAATGTATGTGTAAACGATCACTCGTATAGTCTAAAGTTACACGAATATGTTGCCAAATAATTCGTCGAATGGCGAGGCGAATCACGAGTACGCAGGTGTAAATGCGGTATTAGATACTTACCGGGAACAAACGAGTAGGCACGAGTACGCATGTGTAAATGCGGTATTAGATACTCACCGAGAACAGACGAGTAGGCACGAGTACGAGCATGTAAACGCTTTGTTCACGTGTTCTCGCTACTCGGCTCTAGTATTCGCCTGTTCTCCACTCGTTGTTGGTTTTTTGTTCTGAATGCTCGTGTGTATTCGTGTCTGTGTTTACATACTCGTTATTATTAGCTTGACCCGTGAATTTCAAACTTTATTTTTCTTATATATCATTAGAAAAATATTAAAAATACCTACCTACTGTGATGGAATGGAGTAACGAATCCACTATTTTTACAGAATTTTATCAAAGAGAACCCGTGATATGAGGTCCTAGTAGTTAATTTTAAATTTATATGAAGAAAAATATATTTCATCAACATCACCGTTACAGCCCTTCACAAGTCCACTGCTGAACATAGGCTTCCCTCGAGGCAGGTCACAAACCACGGTCCTGATCCATCGACTTCTGGCAAGTCTTACCAGGTCGTCGCTATATCTAATGGGGCTGCTCTACACTCCTCAAATAAATATTTGTGAGTCTATAAATATAAAATCGTGACCACGAGACGTGCGTCATCCATATTTAAAAGTTCTACGTTGAATGAATACAGACGAAAATGTAAACGAGTACGACAACTCGTCCACGAATAGCTCAGCGAGTTGCACGTGCCGATAATCTAAATGTCAGTCTACTTCATCTGAAGATGCCTCGTGTAGAGGCGAAACATATGTATTATCGTCGGTGGTGTTCTTTCCTAGTGTAGTGTTGTTGGGAGTAGTGGTGACGGGGATAGTGCACACAATTAAGGGAAGGTGGAAGGTGATCTTTAAACTGGATAAGACACATCATTTTATTTTATTACACGGATAATAAGTAAATTAATTTGTACCAACTTTAACTTTAAGTTAACTTAGTAAGTTTAGCTATAGAATTATAATTTTCGTTTACAACAAATGGAATTAATTGTTGACATCATTAGACGTCACCTCTCCAACTTAACGTTTAGGTTCAGTGTGCCTCTCACCATTCGGTGATCGCTGTGAAACATTACTGAACAGTTGGCGTCTAGTCTCGATCGGGTCTACCTCATGTGGGGCCTCTTTTGGAAGGAGGAGTTCATCATAAAGAGTCACTCTTTCGCCATGAAGTCTTATAACGATTTTCCCTACCTTTAGCTTGCCGTTTTTTCTTGTGCCTAGTTTTAGTTTTAGTTTATACACACCTGCCACAGTTACTCAAATCATCCAGGGTAGACTGATAGATAATGTCATAAGGCATTAAGTCCGCCCTTTATATCCCTTACTATGAACTGTATAATAAAGGTTAAACAAGTAGATTGTACATATTATACCCAATTAAATCGCAATATTAAGGTCGTGGCATTATATTAGTCCATTTCTGTCCTTACGTCTAATCAAGGTGGGTACAGCAGAATGAAAAGAAAAATATTTATCTACTTAATATTGAATTAATTTTAATACATCATTTTAAATTTCAGAATGCGAAGACGACTCTTCAGTATGTATAGAAGCCTTAGTTAGATCACCGTCGCTGCCGATTCATTCAACATCTAACCACGGTTCGTCGAGTCTTTGGACGATTGTCATGAGGTTACAAAACGAAGTGAAGACCCTTAAATTAGATGTTAAGAACTTGCAAATGCAATTAAAGGAAGAAAAACAAAATAGAAGTCTTGCCGTTGCTGCTATCAATGCGAAAAACTTATTCATGGATGCAAAAGAAAGCAAATGTTAATATGTTTTTTCATAAATAATTCAAGATAATTATAATTATCAGCTATGTTCTTTTATTTCTTTTTTACATTTTCATTAAATAACAAATAGCTATTATTACGTTCTACATACTAGTGTCGTAGTAGTTCAAGTATGCCCTTGAAGTATAATTTATTTTTTAACTATATACGAGTATAATATATGACGAGCGTATTCGATTTAAATCCGGTGAGAGCCGTGTAGTGGCGGTGTAAGAATATCCACTATTCCACATCGTACCGTGGGTGTCGTAAGAGGCGTCAGAGGGTAACAAACGAGGAGATGGGCCTCAGCGTATTCCAACAAAAAAACAAAAAACTATGGTTTATACGGTTGCTATTTGCGTGCCCATCGTGGCAACCGTGCAAAATGTGCCACTCATGAGGCAATCTCTGGGGGAGGTGCTTAGCTTTGGATTTCGATAGGATGTAACGGTGGCCTTTGAGTAAATTACACATACACGGGCGATCTGAGTGCGATCCCCGCCATTTTTTTGTTGCAATTTTGAGTGTTCACTTACCATGTATTCGGCGGTAAAGGAAAATATGGTGAGGAAACCTGGTATGTATGAGGTATTATACACCATTTTAAGTACATGTGAAGTCCGCTAACACGCAATGCAGCGGCACGCGCGGCAGACAAACCGCACCATTACCCTCTCAAAAATGTAAGGAAATCTGTACCCTGCTGCGGGACTAATATGGGTTGTTACTTTATGTAACTTGGTTACACTATTACAATCAGAATAGCTCATGTAGTTATAGGGCGAAATTACAGAGTATTTGTCAGTTTAGTACGCCGACCATGAACACATCCCGTGTGCTAGTTTTATTTTTAATTTCCGTTAAATTGAAAAGTTTTGTTATAATTTTAAAATAATCTTTTTATGGAATCACAGTGGCAAACGAACACACAGTCTACCTGGTGGTAAGTGGGTGCGGTGGCCCATAGACATCCCCATCTACTCTAAATGCAGATGCGTTGTCACCCCTGAGGACTAAGATGGAATGCCTCGTTTACAGTAAAAATTCTTGGGTTCACTATACTCACCCTATGAAACGCAGTACTATTGAGCTGCTATTTTATCATCTATCTATTTTTGGCATCGGCTGATGTTTCACCATAGAGTAGAGTAATATATACGGTCTTTCACATTGTGAAATGCACATCTGTTAGCTCTTTAAACTGTGGTTTCCATAGATAATACACTATATACCAGTGATAGATGCGTCACTCACATTTCAGTTTTCGAAATGGTGTGCCCTGCACGCTAGATAGGTATCGCTAGATGGCGTATTTTATCCAATGACTCCTGATTATTTACGAAATGTGCAATTTTATTATCAATGTATATATATATGTGTGTGTCTGTAATATAATATATAATCTAAATAAAAAATAAAACTATTCAATTGAGATAGCACGACTCTTTTCAATTAAAAAAAATGTCTAATTATTGGATATCTCAAATAATAATCCCAAATGGAAATTTTGTAGATAACATTAACACTAATAAAACTTGGCCTAGTACCCTTAACCGACGAGCATGTATGCGTAGGTATATGGATGTGGAAGAGGCGAGAAAGGTATGTCAGGATCGTGCTAAATGGAAGTCTGTAGTCTCTGCCTACCCCTCTGGGTGACAGGCGTGAGTGTTTATGTATGTAAAACTTGGCCTATTGCACAATTTTTTTTAAATATTAATATTGAAGACGACGAAGAAATTTGATAAATAATCACAAAACCTCTAATTATGATTTTTACAGGGGAGGAATGAAAAGTCTTAAAATATTTTCGTTTTCTGAGTTATTGTATCTTTAATATTCTTTATTTGTGGTTCTTCAATCAATTGCGTTTGAATTATTAAACAATCTTCATTTATGAATGAACACAACACCGATGGATATTTACAGGACCTTTTTTATAGTCTAAAATATAATTGGGTAGTTATGCATTTTACACATATCATTTCATATATATCTTATATACACTTATGGACTAAATAACTAGCAACATAACTTTTAATTAAATTTGAAAGAACTGTGAACGAATTGTATTAAAAATTGCTATGAATTGTCGATTCAAACTTTTTTTTTTCGGGTTCTGGATCGTTAGATAAAAACCCCAGTTTTACCTAATAAACGCCATCTTTGCAACGCTTAAGAAAACTATCCTACAAGTTTATGTACCCCGCTCACTACAGAGCAGAACTTTCAATGCATATTTTATGTTCTGTAAGTAACAATAAATTGAAGAAGAACATATTGCCCGTATTATGTAAACATTTATGTTATCTCGAGGAAAGATTACTTATGCCATAAATTTTACGACCTTGATACAGAGCGCCGGAGGTCTCGATTCAATAAAGTTTATGAAGACATTTAGTACCGTATGACGTAGGTATGATTTCTAATTACAGGTTTCATAGATTGCCTCCAGTTTGTCGAACAGTTTTGCTTTATCAAGAAACAGAAAATGGCGAAGATAGATTCACGTGTCAGGGTTGTTTCTAAGTTAGTATCATCATCTAAGTTCTTCACAATAGACTACTGCTGTAAAAAACTGTTTTAAATGAATCCTAGAGTAATAATGAACCACTATATTTATAAAAATTACTTCTGATCTATCGCTTAAAAGTAATTTTTATGGCAATAATAAAATAAAATAAATTTACGCCTGAAAAAGCTAGCCGCCATACTGTTCAACTCGTGATGTCACTGTCCTAGAATTTTGCCGATTTTGCAAAGGAATAAGATACTTTTTAATGTTTAGTAATGAGTTATCATCTATATCATTGCTGTGTTGTGCCTGAATGCAAAAATACGAGCATAAGAACGCCGGGAAAGTTGTGGATTCAAGTGCCAACTGATTTAAATATAAGAAATACTTGGTTAAAACTGGCAAAAAGATACCCGAATAAATTGTCTACAAAACTAGACTATTCTTTTGTGAAGATCATTTTGGTGTAAGTATGACTTATATTTAAACTATCGTTTATGCATAGCTTCTATCGCGGGCCTTGATCGTGGGGACCGAATCCAGAAATTTATTCCGCCGTAACGAAAAAACCTCACGCTCCCCACTCCGACGGGCACGGAGGTGTGGCTTGAAGGCCGTGCATCGTCTAACGTCGTTTCAGTTCGGCAGACTTCGGCACTCGGCAGACTTCGACACGGTGTTTGTGTGCGTGCGACTAGACGTATGCGTGTACACTAGCTGCTAACTCAATGATAAAAATTCCTGAATAACCTACATGTATTGTAAGATATTAAAAATATTTTAAACAATATTAACTTTTCATTTATTCAATAATTATTTATGTAATCTAAGTATCCTGTTTACTCCAAAGTATAGTTTTAATTTTTTTTATTGGATAGATTGGCAAACGAGCACACATTCCACCTGATGGTAAGTGGTTGCTGCAGCCCATAGACATCTACATCTATCCTCGATTACAAATCAAAATGCAGATGCGTTGTCACCCGTGAGGACTAAGATGGAATGCCTCATTTCCAGTAAAAAGGGTCTTCGGTTCTCTACACTCACCATACGGAACACAGCAGCATTAAGACACTATTTCGCGCTGGTATTCTGTGAGAGCGTGTTCCTTCCCCGGTCGAGCCGGCCCATTTTATTTATTTTTTTTTATTTTATAGAATAGGCTGACAAACGAGCACACAGTCCACCTGATGGTAAGTGGTTGCTGCGGCCCATAGACATTTACATCTATCTTCCATTACAAATCAAAATGCAGATGCGTTGTCACCCGTGAGGACTGAGATGGAATGCCTCATTTCCAGTAAAAAGGGTCTCCGGTTCTCTACACTCACCATACGAAATACAGCAGCATTAAGCTACTATTTCACGCTGGTATTCTGTGAGAGCGTGGTCCTTCCCCGGTCGAGCCGACCCATTCGTGCTACAACTATACTACTAATATAACTGCAGCATGGATCTACCATGTATAAACTATATACACTTAACTACTTGAAATAGTCTCATATTTTGCTTGTAAGTGGACGAGACATTGTTATACTTAATAAGTTTAAAAGTTAAACTTGAAAGTTAATCAATGTTTGTTCGATAAAATCATTTTACGTATAAATTGCAGTAGATGGCGATATAACAAATTATTATTTTACCTGTGTACTCCAAAGAATACAGTTTTAATTTATTACACTTAAATTCTCAAAATACTCCCATATTATGCTTGTAAGCGGACAAGACATTGTTATACTTAATAGGTATAATTAGTTCTACACAATGTCCAACACTAAATTTGAACTAATTTCTTTAAAAAATGTACATGTACAATATATAATAAAATGTACAATGTACAATACAGTACCTACTTACCTAATATCTAAGCATCTAAGTAATATTTTATGTTACATTACTTTTTATACACAAAAACAGTTCAAACTTAAAAAACTATCATAAAACTAATAAAATTATATTTATGTAAACTATGTATCCATAAAATCTCATAATATAAGAAGTGACATATAAGCCTATATCAATAGGATATAAATGCCTATATCCATAAATGTGTATTATGTCATCCTTAAAATCCGATAACATAACAAGTTACATACAAGTATATATCAATAGGATTTAGCCTGCGAGAAAATGAAATCGTGTCGTGTTTTCGCCATCTAGCGTATTTTAGTGCGTACCACCTTGAAAGTTAATCAATGTTTGTTCGATAAAATCGTTTTACGTATAAAATGCAGTAGATGGCGCTATAACAAATTATTATTATACTTGTTTACTCCAAAGAATACAGTTTTAATTTATTACACTTAACTTCTCAAAATATTACCATATTATGCTTGTAAGCGGACCAGACTTTGTTGTACTTAATAAGTTTAAGCAGTTCTACATAATGTCAAACATTAAACGTGAACTAATTTCTTTAAAAAATGTACAACAAGTTATAATATATAATTATATATCAATTGAATTTAGCCACCGAGAGAGTGA